AGACTTTAAGTTTGTACCCTTAATGTTTGTACCCCTAAGTTTTGGGTCCCAAATACCCTTATTGAGGGCCATATTCCATAGTTTAGGGACCCAAAACCCAAGGGTACAAACCCTAAGGGTCCAAAGGAAAACCCTAAACCCTAAACCCTTGCTTAGCACCTCTGGGTCCCTTCAAGGTCCATCGACCTCGGCCGTGATGGCAGCGTGGAGAAAATCGCCGCTGCTGCGCGCGCGTTTCGTCCGCTTTGGTCTTTCCAAGGCGTCTAAGGGGTCCATAGGGTTTAGGGTTTAAGGCATAGGTTTTAGGCTTTAGGGTTCAAGTATCTGTTTCAGGATATATGCGTATACCAGGACTTGATTTGGGGATTATGGCTTAGAGTTTAGGCCAGAGGGCTGAAAGAAATGGTTTTCAAATCTTTCATGGCCTCCGGTGTAGGTATTCTTGGCAAGGGGATATCCTATGTGGCTACTGCAGCATTTGTCCAACCGAAGAAGGTGGCTATAAGGCTGGTATAGAGAAGGGCTATGGGATCAGGATGGAAGGGTGTGGGCTTTAGAACATGGGGTTTAGGGTGTAGGGTTATCGTTGTCATTCAGCATGAAGTATCATGGGTTCAACTAGTACCCCCCTCTCTACTACCCCCCCTAGGTTCCCCCTTAATTAACCTTAATTAAGCCTAATTATCCTTAAATAACTCTAATTAAGGGGGGAACCTTGTGACAACGGCTTAGGGTTTAGGGTTTAGGGTCTAGGGTATGATACTGAACAGCACCTCTAGCAATCTACTGCTGCTTCGTAGAGCACGGAATAGATACCTACTGCAGTCCTCATTCCATATAACCCCCAAACTTTTGGCCACAATCCTTTTCCCTTCTTCCCTGCTGAGCACCCTAACCCGAAACCGTTGATGTTGTGGTAGTTTCCATGTTCTCTTCCTTTCCTCCCTTCCTGTAGCAGGCCCTAGGTTTCTGCCAGAGGCCCAGCGCCTCTGGGGTGGCATTCCTAAACCTAAGAGTCTTGGGCTTCGTGTTTGGGATGATTCTATATAGACCCCAAGCTTAAACCCCACAGCCTGAGCCCTTAACTCTAAAGCCTAAACCCTAAAGTCTGTCAAACAAAACCTTACACCCTTAACCATCAAGTAATTATCCTCAATTCAGCCAAGGCTTGTTTCCGGCGCTGGCACCTGGGTGAAAATTGAGTTTCTTATAGGGGCCTATAAAGGGTGTTACTGGGGATACAGGGATGGTATAGGGTTTTGGGGGTTTGGGGTTCAGGGTTCCGGCCTTAGGGTTCCATAGTGGAGAATCAAGTGAGTCCAGAACATGCAAAATGAAATGGACACGGGGTTTATAAACCCTAAGTCCTATGCCCCAGAAGGAAAGAGTGTACGGGTCCAAATTAATGCCAATATCATGTTTGGTCTGTTTGAGGTAGCCTATGCCAGAACTATACGATAACTCCACAGTGAACTAGGACCCGATACCCGTGACGATTTAGGCTTCTACAGTATTTTGCATTATGCCGTCCCGCAGTTCAGGGTCTGGGTTCAGGATTTAGGGGTAGGGTTTGGAGTTTAGGGTTGTTGGTTTAGAGCCCCATACCCTGGAGCTCAAAGTCTAACAGGGTGGTTTCCAAAAATGAGGGGATCCTTTTCAGGCATGCCTTTAATCAGGATTATAGCATATTTGGGTCTATTTTGGGGTCCCCTATTTGGGAGACTACCATAGGTTATATGTACACTGGGACTGGGCCCTGGAGTGTAAAAATAAGAGTGGTGTCAAGATCCCAAACCCCTAAACCCTGGACCCCAAAGCCCCAAACCCTAGACGGTCGTTTCTAGGATCCCAGGGTGTGTGAAACGAATCCCTGGATATGTCCCACGCTACCCCTGTAGTCCTACCCTGACATGTCTTGGTGCTCCCACACATGATATTTGTCATATGATTACGGGTATACAGCCGTTTTAGTACCCCTATTACAGACTGTTACCCTGAGGGTCCAAGGACCCAAATAATAGGGTTTCAGGGCCCAAATACTATACTGTTAATGGTATTTGGGCGCTGCAACCCTATTATTTGGGTCCTTGGACCCTTAGGGTTACTCACTGCGGCAGCGGTACACAACTTGAACCCCAAATGTCGAACGAGGTACGGCGCTGCCGGGGAGGCATTGGCCGTCACAGTGCTCGGGCTGTGCCCCAGCTGCGGCCAGCGACTTCAAAGTTCTGGGTTTAAAGGTGTGGCTTTAGGGCTTCCCGGAGGCTTCTGACAATCAGGGGCGCTTTGTTTGGGAGCCCCTGCATTGAGGATTTTAGTCTGTAGATTGGCTTCCCTATGAATCGAACCCCCCTTCCAACCTCGGAAACGTCCTGAAACATGTTGTGCCGCATTTTGCGTACAGGGTAAGGCCGTCCCATAGCTATAATTTATGGACTTGTAACCATATACTTACCAAGATCATAACCCACTTGCAATCCAACTTGTTAGTAGGAGTCCCTGCTATTGAGCCCTAATACACAACCCTAGACCATAACCCCTCAAAATACTAGCACCACTTTTTGGGAGGGTTCTAGGCCAGAATCAGAGCCAAGATAGTAGTTGAGAGTTCAGAGCCTGGGATCCTTTAGGGCTGTTGTTAGGTTTAGGGGTCAGGGTTCAGGGTTTAGGGCTTGGTAGGGTTTAGGGTTTAGGTTCTAGCGTGTACGGTTTAGGGTTTCCTTTTTTGCATTCATTATTTAGTTATGGTGCAGGGTTCTGCAAGGCAACCTCAAAACGTCATGTTTGTTTATTCCGGTCTCTCTAGAGCCCATAATCCCATTACATAACCCCTATATATACCCAGTTTTCATTTGAGCTGGGACGAAATCGGGTAACTACGGTTCGCATAGAACTGACACAATGTACCCGACGGGCCAGATCATGGCAAACGGATAAGCGTTAAACTTCCCTAAGGGTCCGTGTACCCAATATTTAGGTACTTGGGATTTGGGTAATATCAATTTTAGTATAGGTTTTGGGTAAGTATATGATTATTAGGTACTTGGACCCTTAGGGCTTGATGACATAGTGGATTATGTGTTTTCATCTGGAAGAGCACCAACGTGTTAGATTGGATAGAAGGCTTGCCTCTAGGTTTGTGGCGTGGCTAACTCAAGTGTGGTTTTCCTTTTGATTATCCATAGAATTGAGTACCTCCCCAGTCCCTACGATCCCTAACTGCGCGCTATAGCCCCTTTCCCGATGAACCCATTCAGGGTGCGGAGCTGATCGTAGGACCTCAAAGATATGTAGGTATTGTACGGGGTTTGGAGTTTGCCTTTGAGACAGCAGAAAAGAGACCCAAACTTTGAGAAACTTCCATGTTTGGACTGAGTTCCAGGTGTTCCGTGGTAGCTCTGTCACCCTACTGTGGGATTCTAGGTTCTTAAGTTTTGAGGGTCGAGGGTTTTGGATTTAGATTAGGGGTCAAGGGTATTAGATGTTAAGCGTGTGCTCTGTCAAAATACAACTTGGAGTCTGGACGCTTATGGGGCTTTGCAATTATGTTGTATCAGGCTCGTGGTGGCCCTACTTGAAGCAAAGGTAATTAAGCTATGTAAGGCCATCAAGGGGTGGTATAGGTGAGGTTATACAAACCCACAGCCCTAAGCCCTAAACAAGCCCTATGTATGTAGTTGCTAGGTCCCATGGACGGGATATACGGAAATACGGGTTTGGGTTTAGGGTCTAGGCGCCTAGGGATTAGGATGCAGGGTTTAGGGGTTAGGATCTAGGGTTTTGGGATAAGAGTTTAGGGTTTAGGGTCTAGGGGTCCAGGGAGTAGGAGGTATGATGTAGGGATTAGGATTTAGGGTTCAAGGTTAGGGGATACTACTCCAATAATGCAGAAACAAATTCACATTGAAAGGACATGGAACATGACATGGAAACTCTTCCTTGATTGAGGTTTGGATGGACTATCCTGAAAGAAGCCCATCATTTGGTAATCATTTGTGTTGTGTTTTTGAGACATCGTTATCAAGGTTTTCGCACATATATGGTACTCGTATACATTGCACTGCGTCGTCAACTTCAATATATGATATCTATAGTCTATAGTCTTTGGACCCTTTTGGGTAAACATCCAGGGCCGATACTGCAAGCTTTTGAACGCAAGGAGTCTCACGAACATGGCGCCCATCGAGGAAACTCGAGCTGCAAGACATCTGCGATGGGTTGTTTAGCTTTCCTGGGTAGTTTTCCCTTCTACGTCTTACATAATTAGACCTCATACACCTCCTAGGTTCCCATGTCAGCCTTACATATACCACCTGTAAGGGTACCCATCTGGTTGCAGACATCTCAGATAGCCAGCGTGATCCAGCCACGTGCGCAGAAAGGGTGCCGCCAGCGCGCTTGTTCAGTTGAAATTTCCATTCCTTATCGAAACCCTCAACCGTTAAGTCAGTAAAGTGAAGGCTAGAAATTCCCAGTCCCTGCCACTAAATCCTAAACCTTAAAACCCTAAACCCTAAACCCTTAACCCTTAAAACCCTAAACCCTAAACCCTTAAAACCCTAAACCCTTAACCCCTAAACCCTAAACCCTAGACCCTTAAAACCCTAA